CTCTCTCTCTCTCTCTCTCTCTCTCTCTGTCTATCTATATTTGGTTGGGTTGGTTTTATATTGGGCTATGGGATGGATGACCTTGGTGCAAGTCCCCAGAGGGACGTTTTTGAACTTGACTTGGGTTGTTTTGGGCAGTTTTGAAGGCTCTACACCCATGTACCTACTTAGCTCCGTCGTACCGGAGATGAAACATCAATTTGGATGCCTTGCCGCTTAAATACCCCCCAGTAAAGCATCCCATGCACGCTGGCACGCTGGTTGTGTCATCTCTGGTTGACGCGTAATAATCCTCCGCTGTTTTCGGTCGCTAGCTGCCATGCATTTTGTCATAATCATTCTACCTCGTCCCTACATTTTTATATTATCGGTCCTCTTAGTGTGTTGTCCGCCCTTAGCGCCCTTGTGCTCTACATCTCTTGCCTTCGAGTACACTGGAGTCCGCTTAAACAAAATCTGCGGGACCACTGGATTTTCTTCGGTCTAAAGTTAGGTTATTCGGTTAAAAAAGGTTGCTAAAACTAAGGGGGGATGTAGATTCTATTTACTTTCGGTTTACAACTGTTCCCAGATTAACCGTGTTCGATTTAAACGGACTCCGCTGTATTTCCTTCACAGTGGTCCGGTAGCGTTTTATATGATCAAAGTATTGTATCCATATCACACAGGCGGCTGCCATTATGAGGTGACAGATACCAAGGGCGTCATCCAGAGCCCAGATTACCCAAGCTTCTACCCGGCCAGGCGAGACTGTGAGTGGCATTTCACCACAGCACCAGGACACGTTGTCCGTCTCATATTCACGGATTTCCAGGTTGAGCCTCACAGGGTAGGTCTTTACTCTTACATAAATCACATAATCATTTTCAAATACCCTTTTTAGTAGAGGGTTGGAAACATCTACCTTGTTCTCTTCTCTCTTGCTCATAAAAAAATCTCCCTTTAGCTTCTGCTCGTTCGTTCACTCCCTATCTCTTCTTCCAGCCCTTCCGCCACCAAAGAGGCAAGTAAGAATTTGATCATGTCTCACAAAATCCGGGAAAGTCTTGGACTCGATTGATTTGGTTGCTTGCAGAAGAAACAAGGGTTTTCCCCAATGTGGGGATGTTATTATATCTTTTTTTTTTAAGTGTCAAGTTATATGGGCCAACTTAAGCAAGCGTTACGTTTGTGTACACGCAACAATGATGTTTTGTTGATTCTCTAATACGCTTAATGTGAATGCAAACATGAGGTGTTCTGATGAAATGAGATACTTCTTGGATTTTAATCCTATTATAAGATGAGTTTGTATATTTTATAACTATGACATGATAAATGACATGTTAAACTTGGAGGGAAAGGCATCAGTTGAAAATCTACAAATTAGAACCCTGTGTCGATTTTCAGTTGATTCAGCATGGCCAGAAGTAACTCATTTTGTCAGTACACATAATCTATTATGTTTGTATCATCTGCTCAGTGTTTGTGGAATTGTCAGAAGAAAATGAATTTTTTTAAAGCGAATATGCAGTGTTCTTTTCTCTTGCTTTATTTCTTTGTGCAAAAAAAACAAAACAACAACAACAACAACAACAACAACAACAACAACAACAACAACAACAACAAAACAACAAAGAGTTGTTCACAGCATATTATTCGTCATCTTTCCCCAGACTTGTAGGTACGATCACGTTGAGGCGTTTGACGGTGCAAATATTCAGGCACCACAGATTGGCAAATACTGCGGCTCAGAAAAGCCTGCACCAATCATATCTTCCGAAAACACGTTGACCTTGACCTTCCTCTCTGACACGTCTGTGCAGCGGAAAGGATTTAGAGCCCGTCATGACACTGGTGAGTTAATCTGACTCTTCAAAATGCTGTAGATTGAGATGTTAACTGAAGTCATTTAATAAGTGAAAAATTGATACATGTACAGTGTCAAACAGGCTGAAATGACATACGTGATTGGTTGAAAAGGCTTTACGCTCACACAGACAACAATTTATTTAGACCATTACGGAAGCTGTCTGCTTTGACCTTGCCCATGAGAGCCGACTCAGCCTGGAGGGAATGCAACACGCCGACATACAGGTTGTAACCTCAACTGAAAGACTCCTCGACACACACACACACACACACACACACACACACACACACACATA